ATTAAATCATGATATGAGTTTTATTTTCTTTATATGTTCATATTCCGATTTATTTAATAAATCCTAAAAATTTACTATGTGAAGCATACAAGTATAGACTATGTCATTCATCTTAGAACAATTTTAGTTTATATATTTTTTGAAAAAGTTTTGAAGATGCACAACTCAAAGAAATTGAGTTTACAAACATGAAATCAATATCATTCCAAATTAAGCGACACAACCTCCATCCACCGGCATTCATAGAGATATATCACATAAGTAAATAGCCACATGGTAGGATGCTAAACATAATAAGAAAATTATGTATGAGCAGGATGCTAAAGCATAACAACTTACATATTTACTAACGTCCTACGAACAGTTACAAAACAAAGTTAGTAAAACATGCATGATCCTATATACAAAATCCTAATGCAATACATACACAAGAAAGCTTCTAAAGATCTGGCTTCTAAAACATGACATGTGAAAAATTGCAAAACATGCGATAGCGTACAAAATCATGTAATAATCAATTAAAGCACAAAGATGCAAATTTAGCCAGATTTACGCATGAATCATGTATGTAAAAGCATGGATATGCATGGCATGCAAGATATATACATATGTACAGTTAGGGAAAGCGGATTAAAGAATGTGATAGATAAGAAGTGGGGACGAGAATTATTACAACACTTTAAATATTACAAATCTGAGGGAGATGAATAGCTATTACATCACAATATAAAAATCCTCACAAACATTTAAAATAAAATAAAAAAAATATAAGAAAATAGCAGTTTCAAGTGCCTCAATGACTATCGGAGGTTTATCTTTTCAATGTCGGAAGGCTTCTCGGTTTTGCTTAGAGGTCGTGAGCATGGTCATGAAGGTCGTGGGTGCGAAGATGTACTTTTAGGTGGCTACCCGACCAACTAACGGGCCGAGTAGCCTGGTAGGTTCGGCCAAACTCTATTTTCTTAGACTTCAATAACAAAAAAAAAATTAAAAACAATATATATATATATATGTATGGAAGTCTCAACTCACCACTTTTAATTAGATTATAACAATATATAATATAATAAGAAATTAAAGCAAAAAAGAAAAATAAGTAAGAAATGCAATAAAATGAAAGTTTGTGAAATTCACCTTCTAAGGAAAGAATGAACTCCTTAGTTCACAAACTCCCTCTTGATCACCCTCAAGTGTAGGAAGTGTGTTATCAAATCCTCAATTCGAAATTATGGAGTTTATGGTATGGAAAGTGACTAACTCTCTAGTTTTTCTCACTTTTAATCACTAAACACTCTTCCTTATGATAAAGGCAATTGATCTTTGGCTATATCAGAATTTTTGGAGTGGTTTTGGTGTATGAAAATGAGAAATTTCAGTAACTATGAAAGCTTGAAAGTGTTTTCGCTCAAGGTTGCAATTTAAACATTTTTTCCTCTTTTGCTCTCTTTTTTCTCTAACTCTCATGAATGATTTTTTTCTCCTCCTTCCCTCCTCAATATCTAATCTGAATGTATAAGCCATTAAGGAATAAACAAGTCAAGGAATGGGAGACAAGGTGGTAGACAAAGGTGATGGGGATGACAAGGATGATAATGATGATTAAAACTTTGTTACTTTTGATTTATCTTTTATGATAAGGCCAAAACATCTTTTGATAATAGACACTGAGTGGAGATAATGGAGGATGAGTAGGTGCATTTGAATGGATCAGAAAATGGATCAATAGGGTGTCTTAACCGAACCAAAACCCCAAAAAAATGGGTCTGTTGCGGTCTCAGGCTGAGTCAACAAAATCTGCTTTGAAGCCCAACTTTAAACGGGCATATCTCCCTTTATCCGGACTTGGTTTTAGGTGATTCTTGAGTCTAAATTGAAATCCCAGAAGTCTACTTTCCAATAATAGTGGCCTCACATCTAAATTCCAAGTGTACAAAGAGATATGCCTAATTTAGTAAAAACTGTTCATTTCTTTCTTAACGATTTGATACTCATCCTTTTCCTAAACTAGTTTTCTTCCATCTCCTCTTATTTCCTCCAACTCCAAACCTATAAAGAAGATGTTTTTAAATATTTTTCAAATAGTTCACCTCCCTTCCATTTATTTCCACTTTGTCGTTACTCAATTTATTGAAAAGTGCAATATTTTAATCAAATTAAGAGCCTTAGAAAATCGTATAAACATTTGGAAAAATATTTTGAAAACAGGGTTTTAAGATCTAAAATAGTTTGGCCAAAATGGGGCGTAATGCTTTTGAGAGAAAACCAAATTCCATTTTTCTTGTTGAGGATTTTGTGAGAAACAAATTCTTGTTATTTATCATAGGGTAGATCAAAAGAAAGCGCCCAAATCTTAGAGTCGGTTAAAATGGAATGTCTACAATCATATTTGCTTATTTTGTAAACTTATTTTTATCATGCCTTAATTGTCTCATGTTTAACTTTGGTTAACTCTATTGTGACTATACGTTCTAATCAAAAGCATAATGAAATTAATTAAGGGGAAACCTAATGGGATGGTAATGAGTTTGCACTCACTTGTTATATTTTGGAAAGACGATTGTAATTGTTGATTCAGTAATAAAGGATTTCAGTAATGAAATGATGATGGGAAGTGTTTCCGTTAAATCTCGTGCAAGTGGTTGTCACATTAACCCTAAGATGGAATGGACATATTTGAACTCTATGCGGTGGGTTGATTTGGTGAGATAAGGTTGCTTCCAGATTGGACATTTAGGAAGATAAAACCTTTTGGTTTTGGAGGGATAAAGTTTTGGGTTCAAGATGATAAATTTTTTTTCTTTTAACGTTCCTTTTGAGGTCCACCGATGGTGCTGTGCGGTCTATAATCATTACAAGCATCCGTGGTAAGGTCTACAAAGTAGCAAAATGGGGAGTTTCAAATAGTTCGGTGTCTAGTTCTAGCGGTTGGGAGGATAGGTCTCTTTGAGGGACTTTAGTGGCCTTGATCTCACTGTTGTTACTAACTGTTAAGTGTTACTAACCGATTGTGATTTATTGTTGTTATTTATAACTGTTGTTTGTGATTTCTCATTGTTATAAGTCTCTAAATTTTTCTATTTATGCAAATTATACGTAGTATGTCTACTTGTTCATATTGTCTATACTTATTCATATTATCCGTGGTTGTAGAAAGTTGAGGTGTGTGTTTGTTCTTACTTGGCGTCAAACACTCATAGCTATTTTCGTTGCCGTGACATTAATGCTAGATTTTGGAAGAATTCACCGGAGAAGATGTCGTGGAAAGGCTTGAGAAGTTATAGCTCGGGAAGTTATAGCAAGTGTGGATCGACGTCGGATTTTTCATCTCGCTATTGAAAATTTATTTTTACTTATAATTTGTAAAATTAGATAAACGTTACGGTAATAAATTTCACTCGGATGTATTATTATTTATTTTTGGACTTGTAACCTTAGAAAAATCTTTTATTTATTTGTTAATGTATTCATTGATGTCCTCAATTTTTGGGGCATTACAGCTTTTCAAATTTTACTTACCACGTCATTTGGGGAAGAAATTGTATGGATGAATTATTTTTCAATTTTTCTCACACTTTATTCTTTATCTCTTCTCTTTTCCTTTTCTCTTTATTTACTTTTCTTTTATTTTGACAAAATATGTATAATTTTTAATATATAAAGTCAAATTTTATAAAATTATTACGGTTGAAGATAGCTTTATGACTAATATTAAACATATTTAATACAAATTTTCAATAAAAATTATATTATTTTGCAAAAAGTACATAATTAAAATGAGATGTATGGTTGAAGTAGGAATGTATCATAAAATTATGGAAAAATCTTGATTTTGGCCCTTTAATTTTACAAATATTCACTTTTGCCACCTCAATTTCAAGTATTATTTATTTTATTTATTTTATGCTTGGCTCATGTTCAAGTTTGGAATGGGGCAAAAGTGAGAGAACAGGGGCAAAAATGAGGACTCTTCAAAATCTCGTTTGGCAACATCAATTTTTAGTTTAAAACTCAAAAAGGCACCAAAAAAAACTAAAAAGCCAACAACCTATACCAAAAATTCAAAGATTTCATTTTCTTTATATTTTTTGCACATCTTTTCGTAAAAAATCAAAAAGTCATCCCAAACATACTAATTTTTTTATATCATATTTTAGCTAAAAAACCAAAAAGTTATTAAAAAAGCATGTTCCCAAACGAGACCGAATATACATGGCACTGAATGGGCAAAAATGAGATTTTTCCAAAAAATATCTGAAATTACTTAGTAGAAAATGTTATTTTTGGTCTTCAAGCGAAAACTTAGAGATTAAAAACAAGACAATTGTGTTGGGTACAACTGACAGCTATGTCCAGTGCAAGTATTATCTATGTGTACACTAAGGTCTTGATATCTTTGGTATAGAATGAGAGCTCATGTGTTTGAACACTATGGTTGCTTGATTGATCTCCTTGGCCGGTCAAGACAATTAAATCAAGTTCACAATGTTATGTAGTTTATGTCCATCAAAACCCAATTCAACCCTTTGGGCATCTCTTCTTTTTGCAAGTCAAAATCATAAAAATGTGGCTCGTGCAGAATTTGTACTAGAGAGACTTGTGGAGATCAAAACTGATGATTGCAAAGTTTATGGTCCTATGTCGAATATCTATGCCAAAATTGGAATGTGGGAGGGCGTGCTGAGGATACAAAAACTGATGAGGTAAAGAAATATGAAGAAGGAAACTGAACAGAGCGTGATAGAGGTAGATGGGGGCATTATGGAGTTCTTTAGTGGTAAAATTGCTTCATATTCAATGCGAGGAAATAGAAAAAAAGTCATTTGGAGCTTATGGAAGACTGATATTTGCATAATAGACTAGGCTGTGAGAAGTAATGGCTTCAATCTGATAAATGAGAACCTGTGTACCCTACTGAGCTCATTCCTAGACACAATGTATGCATACCGATATTTCAGAGTGGTTAAGCACAGTAAAAGGCATTACCATGAATTCTCCTCAACAATCAAATATCAATGACAGCATCAGAAGATCAAGAAACTGAAAGCGAAAGAATGTCAACAATGAATTTTTTTTTTTGGCTTCCCTACCTCCAATTTCCAAAAAACTATACAACATAGAAGGCGAAAGACATGAAAACAATCAATACAATTGTCATCCTTACCTTTGATGAGAGAAGTTGGATACAGAGTGCTGGTGAAGAGCGTGGCAGTAACTACAGTGACTCTTGTTTCAATTTGATGCTTTATATACAATGCTCTTTTTACTGAATGTAAAAGACATCCCTTTTCTCTTCCAGGAACAAATAATTTTCATTTACATTTATCATCTAGAGAAAATTCATGATAAGAACTCGAAGCTTCACGTATTGTTGCAGGGATAACACAATTCTGACCATCCACAGCCACCAAGACTTCAAAGCCACCTGAACCAGCATCAGATACAAGAGAGAAAATTGAGAATTTTCACAGAAAAATGTGTAGGATCAGAAATGTTCTAATCTGAATGTACTACTACTATGCAAAAAGCAAGTTTGCAGGAATGAATGATCACTGGTAGTTGTTATAATGATTCCAATGTTGCATCTAAGGCTGTGCAAAATACCACCTAATCCGCTAAAACCGCACCGATCCGCACCGTTCTATCCATTAACAGCAGATTAAACAATTTATAATCCACTTTCAAAATTTCTTTACTCCGCTATAGTTAATACATATTTATTTTTTTAACATCTACTAAAATATCTAAGTAAAAATGAGAGAGAAATTTAAGATGTGAAATTTATTACAAAAAATATTATATGAAATTAGTTTGTGTTATATATATGAAAAATATTATACAATTTAGTGTTACATATTATGCAAATGTTTGATAATTAGTCAAGAATATTTTCAATCTGCCAATCCGTCTCAAATTGCCTAAACTGCGATTTGCCAATCCATGAATCCACCAATCCGTCATTTGGTTTATAATTTTATTCTTAAACTGTCCGAACTGCACCGTGCATGCCCCTAGTTGTATCCTCTATCCTCTTGACATGTTCCTTTCTTTGTTTTTCTTTTTTTATTTTTATTTTTGATGAGTCTCCCTCTTTTTCTCCAAAAGGAGGGTGAAAATACAATGCATCTCAAAGAATGCATACTCTGCTAGCCTCCAAAATTTACTCATTTCAAATTTTAATTAAAATCTCTGACAGATCGTACCTCCTCCACACAAGAAATAAGATGAATACGTTAAGCAAAAAAGGACTCTGCCCTCTCCCTGTCTCCGTCCACCCAAGTTTGATTATTTTTCTTATTAACATATATAATATTTCTTGCGGTTATTAATATAGATCACATACCATTTTATCATATTGATGCCTACTCTACTTCACCAAATAAGGGATTTGGTCTCTCCAATTCTACTTTACTACATTATTATTACTATTATTATTTTTTATATTTTTATTTTTGGATAAGTCTCTCCAATCTTACTTTACGCAACTGTCTTTCCCTTCTGCAAGTATCACCACCTCAAAAACTCTTCATCTCCATCGGAGACCTTTTCCAAGAACAACCCAATTAATAAGTTACCACAAGGAGCAACCTTTCATTGTATATGCTAGAAACATACCCAATTGCTCACGAAACTAAGAAAATAGTATTCCTCATCACTTGAACCTAAAAAGGACAAAAACCAAAAAGGGAGAAATATGTTTATAGCCATAAAATCTTTTGTACCTTGATCGATGAAGAGTTACGGGGACTAGCTCTCGTCATCAGAACTTGAATTATCCATCCGAGGATCCCTGATGGCTGGAAATATTCGTTGGCGAACATCAGGCAAAGAAGGCTGACGAGATTCAAAAGAAGTTGATGCTGCTGATGAAGTCTCTTTCCTGGGAGTCCTTAAAGGCATTGTTGCGGAGTTTCTCACCTCCTTACATGCCTTGTCCAATATTATCAAGAAATCACGAACAATTACAAACAACCGCAAGCCCTCTTCCTTTCCTGCATTCCCTTGAAAATAATCTATTGTGCTCTTCACTAGAGCCATTATCCTCTTCTCTTCCTCTAGCATCCACGTGATCTCATCTTCTGCATGCTGTACAAAATTTGCAAGAGTAGTATAGAACCTGCTATCTTCCTCTGAACTCATCTCATTGTTTAGGAACTGTTTAGTTTTTGATAGTGAGCTTCCAAGTTTAGATACCGTTGCCGTAAGACTATCACCATCTATGACTGCTGCCTTTTTTACATTCTCCAAGTCATTGCTTAGCCCCGAAACTACTTGAAGGCCAAGGTTTCGATAGTACTCTTCAGTTTCATGAGTAGAATCCTCAACAAGATCCTCTGTTTTTATGTTGGACATGCTCTGGCTCTGTCTTGCTGTACGTGCAGCTCTTATTCCTTCTGATCGAACGATCTCTTGAACAACGAAGTGTAGAAGTGTGGTCTTGCCATTCGTTCCTTTTACATCAGACAGTTTCAAAAGCGTGTCGAGTTTGAATGCCTGTGCACCTCCACGGAAGGTACCATCATTCATGCGGTTGCCAGTTTTGAGAACTGCTTCTAAGAGTTTCAGGAATAGTCTGCTGTTCTTGAGCTCTGTAGAAGCTACCTGCAATTTAAGATGAGACATAATTGCAATGACCAGAAAGATCTTGACCATTTAATTTTTTGAACTATATATATGGTCTACCAAAGGAGTAATGTATCTTCAGGGGAAAAAAATGTTTCATTTATTTTTAACCTGAATGTCACCTTAAAAAATCTAGGACATCGCATTGTTCGTAAATGTGATGTGACAATAGTAACAATGGCAACGTGAAGAAATATTGAGAGGTGTCAGATAAAAGGTTACGGTGTGTCTCCTTTTGACAAAACTCACGTAACATCTATGTTGACATCAGTAAACGTCAAAGACAACGCATTTTGGGTAGGCTATAATCCTTGGGGACATTGGCAATTGGAAGAACGGACACATAATTGAATGAGATGTTGCATGCAAAGAGCAAATGTTTCACCTTCAAAGTTTGAAAAGACTCTTTAATGGCAGAGAATTCCTCCTGAACAGAGCTCATGAACAATAGTGATTCCAGTCGTTTAAATGCAAATGGAATATTAACCATGACTTTTAGAAAGTTAGTTTCTACAAGGGTCCGACAAGACTCTGTAAACTGTCCCGACATTGGCTTGAACAAAGAGATAGCAAGCATATTTGCTGGACAAGTCTTGATCCTTCAAGAATCGCCTGGGCTCTCTTACATGATCAATAAACACAAAAATAAAGATAAATAAGAGAAAACTTGAAAAGTTGAACAATTATGATGATGATGGGGTATAAAATAGAGAATGGTTGCATTCGGCAGCATAAATTCGTAGTAATTTGATGCACGTATTTCTTTGATTATATTTTAGTACAATTTAAACAATGTATTTCACCTTAATCTGTAGTTCATGTCAGTTTATTGTATTGTCATGAAAAAAATCACAACTAGAAAGATAAGCATTTGGCCAACAAAAATGATTGTAGACTAGCAACTAGCAAATATCAAAATCATATTAAAAAACTTCAGTCCTTGGGAAACTCTTTCTTTCTTTTTCTTTTTCCCAGTCTTTATACCTCGTGCCAGATAACCAACAACTAGAAAAGACTTCAGTCCTTGGGAAACTCTTTCTTTCTTTTTCTTTTTCCCAGTCTTTATACCTCGTGCCAGATAACCAACAACTAGAAAAGAGAATACAGAGGGAGTGTTAGCCCAAACCAAGGACATCCCTTTTCTAAAATACCAAGAACTTGAGGTTGACAAAAGCGTAGAGAAACGTTAAACATAACAGAACTTCCACTGTTTCTAGCCCATTATTTATGCATTTGAATTGTCACTTGGAAACAAAATTAGCCATCATGCATGTTTGGGGAAAAAACAATGTAAAGAAAAATAAGTGTATCATGCAAAAAAGATTAATCTAAATAAAGATGAATCAGCAAGCAAGAAGGTAAAAAGAGAACTAAAACAACCTCTACTTAACTAAAAGAAACTTAAGTTGCTGAAGGTAAAAAATTTTTGTAAGCACATGCTGACTTTCTGAGTAAGTCCAACAGTAAATTAATAAGTAAAATTAATGTGTTTTTGTGTGCATGTAGATCTCATTAGTTATCAAAATATTTATTTGGACATGCCACTATTGTGGGAGAGCCCAAGGTAATGAATATTACTTCATTTACTGGTGTTACAACATATTGTAATACAAGCAACCTTAAAAATCATTCGTTGCAAGGAAGGTTCTTTGTATAAATTTGACCGGGAGCTACATATTGATACACTGCAAAAAAGGAGTGAAAATAAATATTAAAAAAAAAAAAGAAAAAAGAATGGTGGCTTCTTATATACAAAGCCGCTCATCAAATCAGAATGTTCTTCCATGTTCAAATGAAGTCCAAGAAAAAGACTTTTTCTGTGTATTAATCACATAATGTCTCATTGCTACTGTCACATAATATGTGTGTGTGTGTGTGTGTGTGTGTGAGAGAGAGAGAGAGAGAGAGAGAGAGAGAGAATCACCTTCCCTAAGTGCATCACAGACTTCTTCTGTTGTCACATTTAATGCTTTTAGAAGAATTGCCAAATTTTGTGACTTCTTAGCATCAATAATCTTGATATATTGGGGTTGAGGATCGAAGGAAGATGAATTTTTCTTATGTCCTTCTTTTTCAGCAGGGTATACCAAATAAAAGATTCCATCATCTCCTCATTAACCCTATAAATTGAAAAACAAATTTCAGGTATTTCTTGAGACACATTGAGACAACTTGCTATTCACAAAATCAAAGTAAACGAAGAAATTTTAAAGCCTTACTGGAATGACCCAGTTTTAAGCTCATGCCAAACCATTGACTGATCAGGGTTGGCAAGAACTTTGTCCCAGAAGAATGGCTTTAACTTGGTTTTCTGACTCTCAGATTCACCAGTTAGATCATCTCCTCCACCTGAAGAAGAATGCCCTCGATGATGTGGTCCGAGAGGTGAAGGTTTAGCCAGTGGAACTGGTGGAGGGCGAACAACTCTTGGAGGTGGCGGAGCTCTCGGAGCGGGAGGTTTAGGTGGTGGAGGAGGCCCAGGTGGTGGAGGAGCGGTCCTTCCTGGAGGAAGTGGTAATGTTGGATGGTTGGTTCCAGGTGCACCTCCAGTTGCTTCAGATGATTGAGCTTGGACCATCGAACAACCATGACCATCATTGGACAAATTGTTCAAGGATGAAGTCTTGAAATCTTTGTTACTTGAATTTCCTACACTACGAGACTTCTGTGACGAACCTGAAAAATAAAAATTACTCAAAACATTGAAATCATTAAACCAAAGTTTACAATGAACAGAACTTATCACATGTAATAAATACCAGACATATCGCTCAAACAACAGTTGAGAAGAGGTTTATCATCTCTTTGTTCATCTCGGGGGTCAACCCTTTTGCTCTTGCCCTTAAGACAGCAACAGAGGAGCAAAGAAACAAGGACAAGTATTGCCGCAGCAGTTGCAGCTATAGCAATAATTGTATACTTCTGGTTGTCATTTTTTTTCTTTGGAGTACGCTTTTTAACTTTACTTGGTGGAGGTTTTTTTACTTTACGTGGTGGAGGTTTTTTAACTTTAGGTGGTGGAGGTGAGACTTTCAAGTTTCGTCGGCGAAAAAGCACCGGATCGTTGGCATGGGGCTGTGGTATTGAAGACGGAGAGCTGACAGGTTCTGAAAATGATGGTGTTGGAGCAGGACTTTCTGCTATATGATCATGCGACTTATTGGACCTTCTGGAAACATCAGACCAACCAAAAAGCAACTCTAAGCATTTGTCGAACCATGTCCCAGAGTTAGCCTCATTGCCAGATGTGTGAAATGGGAATTTTTTTGTTTCTAAGCAATCCAAAAGAGTTTGTTTTGCTTGGGGAGGCAAATCAGTAATTGCCTTTTGTAATTTTCTTTTTGTCAACAACACCGCATCGGAATTTATCTTGTTGTAACTATCAATTGTTGCATGCAAAAAATAGAAGTCAAAATCTTGAATAGATTTCGTACTGTCCTCCATTCCCTTCCTGCAATGAGTCCACAGCTGCTCTGCCTGCAAGCAAAATATTTCATCATCTTCAGTTAAGAGTTATTCAATTCAGCAACGTAAAGGTGAACCAACTCAAAAGTGTTCAATGCAACGAGTATAGTTATCCAAAAATGTATTGCTAACAAGTGCCCCTAGGACACAAGAAAAAGGCCAAAAAAAAAAGAAAAAAAAAAGATGAAGAATACGAGACACTATTCACAAATTTCATAACACTTTACTGATTTCCGAACAATTTCTTTACCTATTTCAAAAACATTTTCTAGCCGAATCCCGATGTTAACTAGGGCCCAGGGGCAGAAAAGGAGAAAATAAGCAAAGATAAATTTTAGATTTTTCCTTGATGAAAAACAGTCGCCAATTATCTTCTCCCCCATCCATAACAGAGCAATTGGTTGTTATGAAGTAAACTTCTCTCAAAAAAGAAGAGGCAACAGAATAGGGTAAGTGGGCCACTTCTATGTAAACAAACTGGAAGAAAAAACATGTAAACTACATGTGTCGTGTGTGTGTCAAACTATCAATTATAATTATGCTAGACCTCCTTCACAATATCTTTTTCTTTTTCTTTTTGACAAGTTGAACCTCTTTCACACATGAGATATGTTACATGTGCTTCTGTTCCCTTAAAACCTCTAGTGGAGGAAGATTACTAGCTTACATCAGACCGTTCTAAGAAGCTAAGAACACGCGACTCACACACAAACACACCATAAAAAAAACAAAAAAAAACACACACACACACACCTTTGAAGTTCCAACAACTACTCAGAAGCAAAAAATGTTGCCAAATGGTTACTTCTTCCTCAATAATAGCCGAGGAATTTGGACTCAAGCTCTTCTAGGTAGATGATAATAAATATGCTAAATTTAGTATGACTTTAGGCTAATTAATAAATAAAACTCGACCTTAGTACTCTTTAGTTTGGTTTTCACTTGGATTTTTTGTGCATATTTTTTAATATTAGAACAGTGATAATCACATTCAAACACACGCTCTCCTGTTTCAACGAGAACAAGGTTATTGTCATAAGTTGTAACACATGAAAAACTAGTGTATGGTATGTTTTTGAACACAGCCCTACCATTCAAACACAGGGTGTAATTATTTATTTATTTATTTAATTTTAAATATTTTTTTTTTTTTTTTTTTTTTTTTTTTTTGGGGAATTTTTAATTATTTTTTATTTTTTATTTTTTATTTTTTATTTTTCTGGAGCATGAGCTTAATTCTAGTGAGCTCACCAATCAAACACAACTCCTTGTTTCTTTTCCGAGCAGAGTTACATTCCTTGTTGGACTAGATTTTCTGTTTTCATATAGGTCTAAACAGTTGTGTTATTACTTCTATATGGCTAGGGAGCACATAGAAGATTGGACAGCAAAACTGCTCTACAATTGAGTAGGTAGTAGATTATTGGTATGGATCTTGTGTTTGTACTTGATTTTGTTTTCTAGTGGATTGCCTGATTTTTATTTTTATTTTCATTTTCAACCTTGTTTGGAAGGGTTTTTCCCACTATAAATCCTTTGTCTACCATGTGTGTGGTTGCTCGGATCTTTTTCTCACTGAGTAGTTGGTATTTCAATCAACATTCCTTGGGGAAAAAAAAAAGGTTTATTTCTAAAAAGGTTAATTACACCAAAACCGCCTTAATTATCAACGAATATCATTTTACCCCCTTTATCTTTGAATCCGTAGATATTGACGCCCTCAACTATAAAAATCTTACAAATACACCCCCTTTTGGAGGTGGTCTAGAGGGGTGAAAATGGTGTATTTTTGTGGTTAATGAGGTGAAAATGTACTGGTTCATTGATGAGGGGTAAAGTGATATTCGCTAAAGTTCTGTCATTATATTCTATTTGTCTTTTATATTCCATATTTCTCCTCAAATCATTTCAAAAACCTCTTCCAATTATGAAAAAACTAAATTGAACATCCTGCAATCAAACTATTTCATAAATTCAACCTATATCCATTTAAAACCCCCCGTAAGAATTTCAGCTAAAAATATGACTAGAAAAATTGACATTGCAGCTTAAACCAAGCAAAGGAATTGATGAACAACCATTCAAATTTGCTTCAACAAACATAACATTTAACGATATACATACACATATATAATGCATAGATGTAACCAAACAAGAAGGCAAAATTCATATATATATATATATATACACATAATCAAACATATCTATGAAAGAAAATCCAAAAAAATAAAAATAAATAAATTGTTACCGTGTCTTGGTCTAGCTCTTGAGAATCCCAAGGGACTCCATTGCCGAAAAGGGTTCCTAGAATTTTCCGATTGCCTTCCGCAAAGTCGAAAAGGAAAACGAAGAAAACAACCAAAGAACGGAGTGTTATCGCGTTCATTTCATTGGCTGCTTCCCAAATTCCATTCCCATAAAATTCTTCTCATTTCATCCCACATTTATACATAATATATATTTGATTGCTTTTGATTTCTCCAAATGCAAACGCAAATGCGGCATAAGAGACAGAAAGCTTTGCGGGCTCTATGACACAATGCAGAATTGCTATGAGCTCAAACAGAGCTATGATATCAATGTTTTTGTTCGTTCGTTCGTTGCAAGGGAATTGTACGGAATTATATTGAAATTTTCAAAACCCTTCGATTTGTTTTTTGATTGTGTATTTGGATCACTGTTTGTTTGGATGTCTCACGTTTTTCGGACCTGATGATGAACGGGGAAAAGGAGACCCTGAAGATTAAAATGTTTTTAACAATTACGCTCTGTTTGGGAGATTTGATGAGTGTTTTGAAGGAAAAAATGAAAAGATAGATAAAATAAGTGTAAAATATGTTTGTATTTCACTTAATTATATATATATATATATTTTAAATTTCTCTCTCAATCTCTCTCAATTTTCTTATATGTACAATTAAGATAATTGGGTTTAAAGTTAAGAACTCACACAAAAATCTGAAAAAAAAAAAAAAAAAACCCCCAGTCTAGCCTGAAAAAATAGAGAGGTAAATTATCCAAAAATAAAAAATAAAAATTAGCTCTATATTTTTTCATATAATTATATTAATTTTTTTAAAGATTGTAATTTACATAATAATTATGTTTTATTTGATTTGGTTGAAATGAGATAGAATTGAATTAAATGATTATTTCTTAAATTCTCTTATGAAATAAGCATTTTTTTAAGATAATAAATGATGATTCTATATGTAATATATTTTTTATTATTTTTTTAGTCATCCAAACAAGGGAATGGACAATTTAATAGAATGACCATTTCATTCCATTATATTCTAATGAACCAAACATTACCTTAGGGAATCATTTTTGTCAATAATTCATTAGTAGTATAAATGAAAAACAAAATTATTTTATCATTTATTTATTATTAAAATATATGTTTATATTTGTTTATTTTAGTGTTTACACATTATTGACATTAGTTTCTGTCATTTTAATTATACTAAGGGGTTGTTTGGGATGACATAAATAAGTGCACTTTTTATCTTTTTACGAAAAGATGTGTAGAAAAGTAGTGAGGTGATATGATGAAAAAAAGATAAAAAGATAAAAAGATGGATTATTTTGTAGTAGTTGTACGGGGAGGAAATAATTCTCCTCGTATAATCCTGTTGACTAAGTCCACGCTCCTCCGTACGACGTCGCTTCACCACCTGAAAACACAAACGTGAGCTAGCCGGCGGGTGTGTGCCGGAAACCTCTCCGATGCCTAAGTCAGAAAACTTGACAAATAGACAAAGCTCTAAGTTCTCAGAAAGGTTGTGTTCAATTACCTCCTCCAAGGTGATGTTTGTGAGCTTTTATAAGTTTCCCGTGGCACAATCCTAGTAGGACTTGTATTTCTCCATGTAGAGTCCTCCTAGGATTTATACTCCTAAGGATAATGCTTATCCTTTTACACCCTCCCCCACTGCTTAAACCAAGTGGGATGGTTTTCTCCATGGCCGAACTACCATTTGACCGAAGTAAAGTAGGCCGAACTATCCTTAGTTCAGCCCTTCCCTTTACTCTTCCTTATATCGGTTTCTCATCTGTTCAACCCATGGTGCGTTTGGACCGAACCAACGACTCTCGACCGGTATAACTCCCAAACCGGTATACCTCTAAGGTCGATATAACTTCAAGGCCGGTCTAACTTCAAGTTGCTCCCAGACCGAAGTACATTTACAATCCTCTAACCGAAGTAACTTTATCATTTGTGAGCCGAAGTAATTTCACCTCCTTGGGCCGGAGTAACTTTGCTCTCCTGGGCCGGAGTATCCATTACGGCCTTTTTACTTAGTCCTTCGCGTTTTGGGCCTCAAAGCCCAACTCGCAGCTCGGCCCAATTTTTCCCAAAAATTACCCTCTCAGTAGTCAAACTTGACCTAAATAAGATATTAGTAAAACTATATCAAATCTAAAGGAGGGGTGTGTAATTTACCCGACAAAGAATATTATAATTTGAAAAGGTTGCATCATAATAACCAAACACTTTTCATCCTATTCACATTATTAATAAACAACTCACACTCTACTACCAAACATCCATCTTCTTCTCCACTCCTTCCTTCTCTATCTCTTCATTCCTTTATTCTCTATCTCTTCTCTCGTCCAAATTTTAAAATGACTTTTTTTATGTATTAAAAGTTTCAATAGTTACAGATTTAGACAACCTACATGAATTGAAACGAAAAACTCTAAGGACTAAATAAATAAAATTAATAATTGCAAAATGAAAAAATAGTATGCTATGGTATGCACTGTGCACTTTTTTAAAGTGCATACCATATGTACCTTATCATAAAATATGTAATTTTACTATGAAATTTCGTAACATGAATTACAAAATGCGTAACATTACCACAAATTGTTGTAACAAAAAATTTGGTAACAAAGCCACAAAGTTATGCAACATCAAGTACAAAATTTTGAACATTTTGTTATGCTAATTTGTGACGAGATTACGCATTTTATGATTAATGTTACCAAATATTATGATAAAATTACACATTTTTGTGATTGGGTGCGGATATCCCTAGTTGGTAAGAAATGAAAGTAAAATTAACCTTTCTTTAAAACAACTAATAGCGTCTTCTCAATATTGTCTTGTTAATATTGTTTAATTTATTGTATGCCAATTAAATTCTTAAACTCATTCAATCAATACAATCAATCTTTTTATTTTCCATGTTTTGAGCAGATACTCCATTGAAATACATTGATTCATGCAGTTTGATTACTTGGCAACATTCTGTATTTGAAATTCCAATATAAAAGTCGCAGCATACACCATCACTGACAACCTTGAAGAAACTTGAATTACAAATAGGAAATACACAAGACAAGAACTTGCATTTGAGCCTCAATCCCAAATCTTACTTAAATATAGAGGTGATCTTAGCAATCAAATTATCCAACAAATCAGCAAGTGCACCACCAACACTCATGTCTGTTTCTTTGTCAAATGGGTATGGCTCCATTGGCTCAGTTGCTTCCAAAAGGTCCTCAATTGGAATTCTTGGTTTTGACCGCTCCAATGGACCTACATGATTGTTGTACTTTCTTGGATCTTCACAGAAATCCTAAGCAGAAAAAGAATCAAAATGAAGAAAATATATGAGTTTTTTTTTTATCACTTTCACAGTTTAAACAATTAGTACATTTTTTGAGCTTTTATCGGCAGTCATTTACCTGATCAGCGTGCATTTTCTTCACGAAAGTCTTGAATATCTTAAAATTCTTCCAGTCCAATAGATTATCTGATAAACGAAGATATGTCACCGCATACATTCTCAAATTTGGATTGCCATCTCTGTTAACACCATTTGGCCTAGCGTTCAGAAGAATTTGATTATAAGCTGTGCGATCATATCTTGGAAGTGCATTTTCACCCGCAACTTCAATGTTCTCTCTCCATCCTCCACTCAAGACCTGTACACTCAATTGTTTTATATGTGTCGTATATGTATATAGATAAATTTTATATATCCTATTTTCACAATATATATATATGTATAAATTTTTTCCTTTCTGATTTACCTGCTGAGCAAGTTTTGAGGTCCCACGTTTAGCATCAGCGCTTTGCTCAGAGTCCCTCATCTCAAGGCACGTGAAATTCAAAATTGCATAATGCCTAGAAATCATCCTTGCTATGGGTCGATAACCATCTCTATCATTCAAGTTGTAGAATCCTGAAGTCAGCTCTGCAGCATGACTGTCGTCTTTATACCACCAATGGATTCCCGACACCTGTACTCACAATGAAATGTTTATTGTTTGATGGGAAAAAAAAATGGTAATTATTGATAAATGTTGTGACATTTACTTTAGCAGCTAACTTGACTTTACAGCCGAGGAAAGCTTTATTGGCTTCATCAAGGATTTGATCACCATGGCTCAGTAGCTTGTCAGAATACCAAGTCAAGAAGAACTTCCCTTCTTCAGTAATGTATGTCCCGTTTGGTTTAAAGAACTCTGTTGATTCAGGTGTGTCGTTATATTCTCCTGCATTGTGTGGCACGTTCCATTCAGGATGCCCAGCATTTGTTGCAGCCTCCTTGAATTCTGCTTTAAGATATTTGTCATAGCACTGCAATAATGCTTTAGTAAAATATTTTAAATTTCCGAGGTGTTAACTAGGAAGAAATTTAGTTTATTAAGCTAGTAGTGGATGGGCAGTTCATAAGATCATCAAATTTAACCTGAAATTCTCCAATGCCGGGAAAAACCCACCCTTGATTTTGTGGGTAGGAGGGGTATCTGAGTTCCCCTGCAGGTCCGAGCCCTACTTCAATGTCAATTATGAGTCCAGCTTCTAGGAAGTCTGACATGTTCTCTCTGAAGCTCTTCATGTAGTCACTGTAGATCTAAACACATCAAAGCAACAATCTTAACTTGACATGGCCATAAACCATCTTTGATTATGTCAGTGTGTTGCCATCTTTAACTACTTGAGTACTCTAACCTAGCATATATTTGTATTACCTTTATTTAGATTGTAGTTTAGAATAGAGTAATTGTGAAATGGAAAAAGAAGAAAGTGATAATAAGAAATGGAAAGGACAGTATTGATTGAATACTTCTTACAAAGTGATATTGTTTTAGATGAATATGCTCATGAATCATGATACATAGGTTTGGTTGAAGCTGTCATGCCAAATGAACTCATTGAGATTCTATTAAAAACATAATGACATTTGAGTTTGTTTCAATCTTTGTTGTTCAACATACAAGTGTATTTGAGCCATCTTTTCATACTCCCCTACAAGGTGATAAAAGATATTGAAGGAATCTTAAGAGCCTTACAGACTGAAGAAAAAATTCAATGAAAAATTGCATGCATTCTAAAATGTGAAAGGGGATGGGTTATGAAAGCCAACATAAGAGCAAATATTTTCTAGCAAGGCACAAAGGGGTTTTTAGAAATGGCCAAAGGCAAAGAAATATAATTTCCAACACTGCCAACTCCTTTATCCCTTTGATAACCAAATTTGATGGAGTAATTTGGACTTTGTCCTCAACAGGGATTGACTCAATTAAATCAGCATGGGAAGAAACAAGGATAAAATATGGCACATCACAACATTGTTTGGTTCAGTGCTTTTATCATATGGTTGGTGTGTTGTAGCAGATTGGCTACCAAAGATTGGTTTAGAGAATGGAGAATGAAGGGGAATACTACCCACTAATGCTAGAAACACAGGAATGTTGCATAGAACCGAATATAGACACTAACATGCGCTTGTGGGCCCCACACTATGTTTTAGCAAGGGGCAGACTAGGGCTTGGCCCGGTGAACTTGGATCTTTACTACCATTTCTCTGCAACAAGATAGTCTGCAAAAATATTGTCTAATGGTTCAAATTTAAAATTAAAATTAAATAATGTCAACGTAATGCAATTTTTTTTAAAAAAAATTCCTACTCAAAACGACATTGCTTTCGTTATTGCAGGAAAAAAATAAAAAAATAAATATGGCAATTGATGTATTATTAATTGATGTATGTTATGTTTACAATGAGTCCTATATATAGAAGATTAGAGGAGGTAGGTATGTAGTAGGTGGAGTAGTAGGTGGAGTAGGTGAAGTGGTAGGTTTTGGTAGGTTTTAACAGCCCCGCAAACTCAAGGGGGATAGGAACTAACCAACTTGAGTTTGGAGAGAGTAACAAAACAAAAATAGACTAATACATAAATAAAAGAGGATAGGAGACACTGTATGGTTGTATCAGACCAGTGGTGAAGACACTGGATGGTTGTGTCATAACGTTGTAGAGGACACTGGATGGTTGTGTCATAACGTTGTAGAGGACACTGGATGGTTGTGGCAGACCGTTGTAGCAGATAAAGTCTGGATAGTTGACGAGGTCACACCGGACTGATGGAGAAGCTAACCGGAATCAAATGTCGGGACAGTTTATGGGGTCATGTCGGACCGCTGGAAAATACACTGTATGATGGTGTATATAGGTTGCCCAAATATATATATACATGGATATAGATATCGAGCCCTCAAAAGTCGCGCCCTCAAAAGGCGCGCCCACTTCATCAAAAGTTGTGCCCGACAGAAAGCGTCGAGCCATCAAAAGGTGAGTCGGAGACGCGGCGAGGCACGTGAGCGACAGAGCGGCGTGTCGGCCGCGTCGTCAATGTCGATATAAACCAATGCGGAGGCTGTGGAAACCAAACCAAGCTGAAACCTCTGAACATTGTCATTCTGAAACACTCTGTAAATACTCTGGATCCAACCCTTCTCTGAAAAACTCTGCGTTTTCGGAGAGAGAAACTTTGTAACACCTTGTAGCCCAGAAAAATGGCCTCGTCTTCCCGTGGTCTGCTCACTCTCTTTCCAGACCTCAACGAGTCAACAAGAGAGATAACTGGTGCGGTGGCCCGTGAACCTCAACCAAACACCTCTGGTTTTGCTCCGTTGAACTTTCCGATGCGGTCGGTGGAGCAAAAAATGGCAGTGCAAACGGATATTGAGGCCAATCAGTATACATTGAAGTCATGTGTGGAAACCATGACTGCGGTCACAAACTTGTCGCACCGGCTGCAGAGTAGGACAAATGAGGTGCAGCAGTTAAACGCCCAACTGGCTCTGCTCGAATAATTTATAATCAATTATCAGCCCATTGAATAAAAATAAAAAGAAAGACGTTGATGGTGGAGCCAAGTTTGGTGGGATTTGTGGGAAAGAAGAATAATTTATAATCAATTATCAGCCCATTGAATAAAAATAAAAAGAAAGACGTTGATGGTGGAGACAAGTTTGGTGGGATTTGTGGGAAAGAAGAATAATTTATAATCAATTATCAGCCCATTGAATAAAAATAAAAAGAAAGACGTTGATGGTGGAGCCAAGTTTGGTGGGATTTGTGGGAAAGAAGAATAATTTATTGAGGAGAACCCATATCCATGTAAACCAAAGGTGGGAATTTAAATGATAGTGCATCATTGCATACTGAAAAGAAGGTGGCACCGAGACCAGCTGATAAAACACCCACTCAATCTGAAATATCTCTGAAAACGAAGAAGTGAGATAGGCGTGCATAAAGACAATTTGAAAGAGGAGCATGCTGCAGATCTGTAGTCTTTCCAGAAACTACTGCTGTGAATCCCCCAGAATCTTTAAAAGCGAGAAGTAGAGACTCCTTAGCAGAGAGTCTCTCCATTTCCTTGGCGTAAGTAGCAGAAGAAGAATGCGAAGAAGCGCGAGAACGGAGTCCGAAAAAGGCCGGGACTAAGCCTTGGATTGAAAAAGCCATTTGGAAGAGATTCGAAACCCTAATTTGGTGATAGGTACGAGGACGAGTGTGACTGTTTGATGCTGGTTCTGTGTGTGAAGTAGAAGGACAAGAGAAGGAAGTTCAACATAATCAATTATCAGCCCATTGAATAAAAATAAAAAGAAAGACGTTGATGGTGGAGACAAGTTTGGTGGGATTTGTGGGAAAGACTACAGACCTGCTCTGATACAATGTTAAAATTGATGTATTATTAATTGATGTATGTTATGTTTACAATGAGTCCTATATATAGAAGATTAGAGGAGGTAGGTATGTAGTAGGTGGAGTAGGTGAAGTGGGTGGAGTAGGTGTAGTGGTAGGTTTTAACAGAGGATGGTGGATGATGTGGTCCTTTTATGCCTTGCTCGAGTCATATCACTACGTGACAGTTTTCTCTTGCCGTATTACTCCTCAACCAATTGTAAAAAAAAAACTACTCTAACCATTTCTGTAAATCAGAGATCACAAAACTTGCAGCGGAATAAAATGTTTAGATCATACCTGATTCGATCTAAAACCTCATGGATAAATCACGTGCTTACAGAATCTAATCAATCAATCCCAGCAGTGGGGTGATATTACAATGGTGAATATCACCCACACAAACCACAGTGCAAATGACTTGATCGTTGTTTCTTGGGAGAGAGTAAGTTTATGGGTAGAAACAAAACCTACGTTGTTTCTCTCTTGGGTTACCCATAACCATATATCAGATATATATTATTGTGTATCAATCACA